CCATAGGATGATCCTGCCCTCCAGGTTGTCTCTGTATGAGGCAGTCCTGGGTGGAGGATGCATGTGCTACATTGTGGTAACGGTAACTTTTATTGGAAGACAGAACCAGTTCCGAGGATTATATTATATTCTAAATGTCAATGATTTCATTTCAGAAGAATTCATGAGAAAGAGATCTTGAATTTCTCTTTCCCATGTGTATGTGTGTGTGTGTGTGTGCACTACACTTCAGCTTAGTCTTTCCTCTCTTCAGGTATACTGACAAGGGTGTCCCAGTGGAGGTGATGCTACTTGACCTGCAGATCGTTCGTCTCGCCTCGCTCGCCACCGACCTCAACTACGTGCTCCACACCAGCCTCGAAGGGCACACGAGGAGGGAGAATCTTACATCATTCTTAGCAATTTACTACGAACGCTTCACACAGGTCCTGTCAGCTGGTGGCAGTGCAGTGCCCTTCTCTCTAGAGGACCTCACGCAGGAGTACCGGAATCACCTTGTCTATGGGCTGATAATGTGTTTGATGACTGTGGTTTTCAGCCTTGATTGGCAAGAGGATGCCAGTTACTCAGAGGGTGGGGCTGAATTTCAGGATCAGAGGAATAAGATTCTTATCCGCGCGATGACAGACAAACCACAGATTCGCGATAAATTTCTGTTCTTAATTGATGAGATGATAGAAAATAGAATTATGGCATGATTGTACAATTGATATGACCTATTAAAGCATTTCTATGATGACTAAGTTGTTTCTATATTGTGTGACCAATATAGTTAAGGACAACTTTTAAATATGAATAGTGACCAGACTGTATCGTATCACTAGCATTCGTTTGTTATATGACTATGAAGTGAGACATGTATGTATTCTGAAAAGAGGGAAGTACTTAACACACGAAATACCTCATTTCATTCACACTCCTTTGTTCAAGTACGGATACATAGCACAGAAACCATGACGGATAAGCATAACCCACGAAGGTTGATGCGATGACGTCGTGTCTGTCAGATGACCGAGATATCGCTTACTTCACCATAGTAACTCATGACCAAGAAGCAGTAAGACGGATCATTCGTCACTTCTAACATTGTTGCGTTGTGCATTATCTACCATATCAATTCAGTTGTATGCTGGATAATGATGCAAGTATATATATATATATATATATATATATATATATATATATATATATATATATATATATATATATATATAATATATATATGTATGTATAATCATAAACACACGTAAATATATATTGACTGTTTGACAGATATATAGATACCGGGAGAAATTATAAGGTAACAAAAAGATAAAAAAAGAAAGAAAATATATGTATCTATATATATAGAGATAGACAGATAGATAGATAGATAAATAGATAGATAGATAGAGAGATAGATAGATAGATAGATAGATAGATAGATAAATAGATAGATATAAATATAGATATTATTTTTCAATGTGAGAGCAATAATTTTTTCTTCGACATGACCATGAAACTTCATATGATTTGTTATAGGAAAAACATATCCGGTTTAATCTCAACCTTTGGTGTCTTGGCTGTTTAGTATTAAGGATAATTTATGTGAACTCAGCTGTTCGCGTTGCAGAAGTATCAAGATTTAATTTGCTGAATTTCTGAGTACGGTCATCCTTGATCAACTAAGTCATCAATCCCTCCTTTCTTACTTTCACGACTTTTTTTTCGATCTCTTTTCTGTTTCTGTTTCTGTCTTTTATTTTGTTTGTGTTTGTCTTTCTCTCTTTTTCTTTTTCTCTACGGTTTTGAATGGATGGCCCGCTCTCTCTCTCTCTCTCTCTCTCTCTCTCTCTCTCTCTCTCTCTCTCTCTCTCTCTCTCTTCTCTCTCTCTCTCTCTTTGGATTCTACTTTGGATTCTACTTTGGATTCTACTTTGGACTCTACTTTGGATTCTACTTTTCACTTTCCAATTCATTCAACCTCCTCGGAAGATTTGGAAGCCGTCTCATTACAATCAGTCACCACAATCTCCTCTCTGCTGTATTAACATTAATTTGAATACACATATCCATTCATAAATCTTTCCTTTTGAATACAATCAAGATTTTCGTTTCCGATCATTGTTATTCACCTGTTTAGGAGGAAAGCATCAAGCCATAAGGACAAGGGCCATGATCACAACCCTGATTACTTCACAGTGTAAATTACAGTGTGTTTGTCACTTCCTCCCCCCCCCCTTATCGGTAAAGACTCCTCTTATTATTCAAAGAGTTCTCAGTTAATGATTTTGGTTCTTTATATGAGTTCGTATAAGATTTTGCTATATTCATATGACCAAAAGAAAATGTATAAACAAATATATAAATATAAATAATTAAATATTTATATACATACATATATAAATATGTGTGTGTATGCATGTATGTACATATATATATATATATATATATATATATATATATATATATATATATATATATATATATATATATATATATATATATATGTTGTGTGTGTGTGTGTGTGTGTGTGTGTGTGTGTGTGTGTGTGTGTGTGTGTGTGTGTGTGTGTGTGTGTGTGTGTGTGTGTGTGTGTGTGTGTTGTGTGTGTGTATGTATATATATATATATATATATATATATATATATATATATATATATATATATATATATATATATATACACGAGGGCGTATTTGTTTCTTTGTGTGTGCGTTACTCATTACTGTATCAATACGATTTTATTTATTTATTTATTCTTAATAACGAATCACATCATTCCCAATCAACTATAATAATAAAATCTATAATTAATCTATATATAATAATAATCTATATAATGTAATATAATAATCTATAATTAATAAAATCCAGAAATGGGGAAACTAAGCAACAGATAACACGCCAGCAGAGTCATCCAACCCAAGCGACCCACACATCTCCTTCACCTGATGCAGAGAATATCTTAAGTGATTTGAAACCGTGTAACCTTGGAACAAATGCCTCGTGCCACTTGTTTAATTTCTTGCCCTTACTATACCTGATGGTATTGTTATAATACAAAAGTCAGCAATGGCTAAAGTGCTTTCATTTCTAAGGATATTGTGTTGGATTTTAATCTCTTTGTTTTCTTTCTTGACGAACTGCCAAGAAAGGGAAAAATGTCGGCTGGGATTCGTATGGCATCATATTAGATAGATACCTGACAACAGCGACTTTGTCACAGTAGTTAAAATACAAAGAGGCAGCGAGACGCATCCTTCTCTGACAGCAAATAACAGTGAGTATTGATCTGGGTGAAAACTGATTTTTTTTCCTGTTGGAAATCCTTACTTTCTTTCATTCTTAGGTTATTTTGATCAGACAAATACCTTATTGTAAAGCTTGTAGTTTAATAGTGTATATTTTTTCCCCTATAACTTTACTACTTCCAGTGGAGTTTGGTCATACAGTACTTGTGGATTAACAGTATGCATTTTTCATTCATTTTCCTTTGCTTTTCCAGTGGAGTCTGATCGTGAAGTACTTCGTCCAAGTGAGATTACGAAGGAACGTGTCGAAGCTGCACTCAAAGCTGACAAGGGAAGCAAGGCCAAAATGGTCTCTTTCGCGGTCCAGGAACTGACCAAACCAGGGGAAAATTTTGCAAATCTTGTGGCCAGAGTGAAAGTCAAATTCTCCAGTGAAAACGGGGACGGCGATGTTTCCTATGTTGTGAAGTATGACCCTAGACGATCCAAAGCACTGAAGGACCTAATGCTCGCCTGTTTCCAAAAAGAACTCGTAGTCTATCAGAATCTCGTGCAGGAAATCCAGGCACAACTGCAAGCGGTTGGGGAGAATCCCTTGAGAGTTCCCAAATGTTTCTACGCTTCCTTAGAAGAGAATCGAGAAATATTATTCCTGGAGGACCTTGGCCCGAAAGGCTTTAAGATGTTCGAGATCAAGAACGGCCTAGACGTCGCCCATACGACGCTCATCCTCGAGGAACTGGCCAGACTCCACGCAGCCTCGTACCTCCTCAAGGCCAAGATCCCAGACCTGGCCGAGAAGTACCCAGTCCTAAACCTGGATTGGGTAACGTACGCAGACAGTGCACGGCGCAACACGCAAGGCCTCTTTGGGAATATCATGGACTCAGCCTCCAAGTTGCTGCGTCACATCGGCGGACGCGAAGTGGCGGTGGCTTGGCTCGAGGAGAACAAGACGAGAGCAGCAGAGATCATTGAGCACGAACTGAGGAGAGAGCCGCCCTTCGATGTCTTGTGCCACGGAGATTGCTGGAACAACAATGTCCTCTTTAGGTAGGTAATTGCCATTTTGTACTGGTTGTTATATTACACATATATCCATGATATATGTGTGTGTTCAATTAGAAGATAAAGCTATGTCTGTGGTTTGCGTTGCGTTCAAAATGATGTTACTAATTTCGCTTTCAAATGAATTCCTGGGAAAGAAATCTTGTATCTCTCCCTCTCTGCTGTATGTGTGTGTGCATGAGCAGTACATTTCAGCTCAGTCTTCCCCTTCTTCAGGTACGACGACGAAGGTGTTCCAGTGGAGGTGATGCTCCTTGACCTCCAGCTGGTCCGCGTCGCCTCGCTCGCCACTGACCTCAACTACCTGCTCCACACCAGCCTCAAAGGGCACACGAGGAGGGACAACCTCACATCATTCCTGTCGGCTTACTACGAACGCCTCAGTCAGGTCCTGGAGGCTGGTGGCGCCGCAGTGCCCTTCTCTCGCCAGGATCTCACGCAGGAGTATCGGAATCACCTCGCCTATGGACTGATAATGATTTTACTGGGCGTGGTCTTCGGCCTGGGCGGGGAGGCGGATGTCAGTCACTCAGAGGGTGGAGCCGACTTTCAGGATCAAAGAAACGAGAAACTTATCCGCGCGATAGCAAGTAAACCGCACATCCGCGATAGATTTTTGTTCGCGATTAATGAGATGATCGAAAACGGAATTATAACATGATTGTAAAATTAAAATGACCTATTAAAGTGATTCTACTAA